TACAGATCAGAATGTAACAACATGATTAGGCATTTCTTTGACTTTTGTGATTCAGATTCAATTCAGAAATGATATGCACCAAAGTGTTAAATTTTATGGGGGGGTGCATATAAAATGTGCATTTTATGGAAAATGCATTGAAAATAATACAAAAATGCATATTTTAAGGGAAGAATGCATAAAAAATGTAGCATTTATATCAGAGGTTGGTAAACTTTTTCAACAGGGGGCCGGTCCACTATCCCTCAGACCTTGTGGGGGGCTGGACTGTATTTTTTTTGGGGGGGGGATGAATGAATTCCTATGCCCCACAAATAACCTGAAGATACATTTTAAATAAAAGCACACATTCTACTCATGTAAAAATACCAGACAGGCCCCACAAATAACCCAGAGATGCATTTTAAATAAAAGGACACGTTCTACTCATGTAAAAACATGCTGATTCCGGGACTGTCTGCGGGCCGGATTTAGAAGGCAATTGGGACAGATCTAGCCCCTGGGCCTTAGTTTGCCTACCCATGGTTTATATGCCAATTCTTTCTTATATTTTAAAAAATCCATAAAAAGAGGATAGAACAGGCCTATCACTAACAGAATGCAGAACTGATGTGGAACTGGGCATTGGCTGATCCATCTATCTCTACAATTCAAAGTGTTGGTGCTGACCTTTAAAGCCCTAAACGGCCTCAGTCCAGTATACCTGAAGGAGCGTCTCCACCCCCATTGTTCCGCCCGGACACTGAGGTCCAGCTCCGAGGGCCTTCTGGCAGTTTCCTCACTGCAAGAAATGAGGTTACAGGGAACCAGGAAAAGGGCCTTTTTGGTAGTGGCGCCTGCCCTGTGGAACGCCCTCCCATCAGATGTCAAATAAATAAACAGCTATCGGACTTTTAGAAGACATCTGAAGGCAGCCCTGTTTAGGGAAGTTTTTAATGTTTGATGTTTTATCATGTTTTTAATATTCTGTTGGGAGCCACCCAGAGTGGCGGGGGAAAGCCAGCCAGATGGGCATTGTGTAAATAATAATAATAATAATAATAATAATAATAATAATAATAATAATACCTCGCGTGGGACAAGAGCAAAATAGTCCCACTGTCTAAACTGGAAATCAGACATTCCCCAATAATAAGCAGTCTGGTTTATCATTGTGGCATCTAGCTTGTTTTAATCACTGGCAAGAATTATTCTGGAAATGGGAAATAACCTTACACATTATATTTTTCTTATTTCTTTTCCTTTTTTTGGCATTTCAGTAACGAACAACAACAACAACAATAAACTATGAGTGAGTAATGGATCCCCTAAAGTCCCTATCAGTGTAGGATAATGAAGCATGAAATGGTGTTCTGAGATGAAATCCATCTCAGGAGAAGCTCTGGGTAGTTGTGAATTAACAAGTTAAGTTTGAAATGGATTTAAAAGCAAAAAACAAAAACCCAGAAGGAGTTTTCATAATTAGACGGAGACTGTAGTTTTGTATTTTATTTTTTAAAAAAATACCTTGTGAGGAATTCATGTTACCATTAAGGGGGCATTCTGATGGCATGCAATAGTTTTGACGCTTTATCCTGTAGGAGCCAATATAAATACAGGTAAGGGAATCATGTGCTTTTCAACCTTGAAAACTCCCTGTACATACATGGATACCAGGTTTCCAGGGAGAAGAGTTGCAGGTTAGTACAGTTGTACCTTGGAATTTGAATGGAATCTGTTCTGGAAGTCCATTCGACTTCCAAAACATTCAGAAACCAAAGAGCGGCTTCCAATTGGCTGTAGGAAGTTCCTTGCAGCCAATTGGAAGCCGCGGAAGCCCCGTAGGATGTTCAGCTTCCAAAAGAATGTTCAAAAACCGGAACAGTCACTTCCAGGTTTGCGGCTTTCGGGAGCCAAAACATTCGGGAACTAATCTTTTCCAAAACCAAGGTATGACTGTATTCTCCCTGATGAATTAGCTTTCCACACTGCAAGGAAACTTTTTGTTTTTAATGCCTGGAAAGCATTCAGATAAGCAAGTCTACCTTGCTTCTTGGGAGAAAAGCAATGACAAACCTAGACAGCATCTTAAAAAGCAGAGACATCACCTTGCCAACAAAGGTCCGTATAGTGAAAGCTATGGTTTTCCCAGTAGTGATGTACGGAAGTGAGAGCTGGACCATAAAGAAGGCTGATCGCCGAAGAATTGATGCTTTTGAATTATGGTGCTGGAGGAGACTCTTGAGAGTACCATGGACTGCAAGAAGATCAAACCTATCCATTCTTAAGGAAATCAGCCCGGAGTGCTCACTGGAAGAACAGATCCTGAAGCTGAGGCTCCAGTACTTTAGCCACCTCATGAGAAGAGAAGACTCCCTGGAAAAGACCCTGATGTTGGGAAAGATGGAGGGCACAAGGAGAAGGGGACGACAGAGGATAAGGTGGTTGCACAGTGTTCTTGAAGCTACCAACATGAGTTTGACCAAACTGTGGGAGGCAGTGGAAGACAGGAGTGCCTGGTGTGCTCCGGTCCATGGGGACACGACTAAACAACTAAACAACAACAACCTTGCTTACCTGTACCTGAAGTGGTATAGAGCCTGGAGGGCTGTGGCATGCATATTTTGAATGCATGAATCTCGAGGGCCGGTTAGTGTTACGCATTTAAAGCAGTATCGTATCACTTTGAACAGTCATGGCTTCCCCCACAGAATCCAGGGACATGTAGTTTGTAAAGGGTGCTGAGAGTCCTTAGGAGACCCCTATTCCCTTCAGAGAGCTACAATTCCCAGAGTTCCCCGGGAAGAGGGATTGATAGTTAAACCACTCTGGGAATTGTTGTTCAGGGAGGGGAATAGGGTCTCCTAGCAACTCTCAGAACTCTTAACAAACAACAGTTCCCAAGAGTCTTTGGGGGAAGCCATGTCTGTTTAAGGTAGTACGATACTGCCTGAAATGTATAGCACAGTTGTGGCCTGCTTTTAAAAAAGTACATGAGAGGTATATCTTGGAGAGTGATTTGCGTGTTCAGACCCAGAGACCTCCCCCTAAATAAATTCACACTTGACTCAAATTTTAGTTTGTGTTTTTGGCAGAATTTAGGCCACAACTTTATTGATTACAGAATGTGAGTGGTTGCATAGGCTCTGGTTCGACTAGCTCCCTGCACCCTTGCAGGCAGCGCTGACCCAGGGCACCAGCATAGGTCAGCCAAGGGTGAACACCTGGGTAGGCGAAAAGCCGGGAACAGACTATGTTCACCACCCAGATGCCCCCCTGGACTCAGGTACGGACACAACCTCCTCTTGGGGGTTGACCAAACCAGTTGAGTCCCTGGATTCCTGTAACGGAATACCCTTCACAAAGGGATAGCGAGACCGCTCTCCCATCCCTATCACCTGAACGAGTGCCTATCTGCAACCTTACAAGTTGTAATGATTTGCTACGCAGCAGGCGAAACCCAAATGGCAGTAGCCAATCAGCCAAGTGGGGAAATTCCTGCCGTGCCCCTGTCCCAACGACAGACGACACACGACGGCATAGCAAGGTCAATCGCACAATGCCCTAACAGTAGGGAGAGGTGGGCAGGTGTTCCGAATGCACGAGCCGAAAGAGGAAACTCTGGGTCACATGCATGGGTATATATAGGTCCCTCGATCCGTTTAGACTGCGCCCTATTGGCCAGATTGAACCCAACATCAAGGGACCTTCCAATCGGGTGTTGTAGCTAACCAATCCAACCCACCCACAACACAGGAGGTCAGTCTCCAGGTCTCACCGCAACACGTGCCATCTTTTAGGGAGGCCACGATTTCCCTCAGATTTCTCTCATACGCATCTGCCTGCAACGAAAACAGGAAGCCAGCCATGCGTACAGCATAACCTGCACAATTTCCTATAAGCTGCATGGAGTGATGGGGAAACCCCCCCCCCCCCCGATTCATATCACTTTCCAATATTATGTATTCATAATTTTTTTCAGTTGTTGTTGGGGCACAAGTTGGGTATAGTTTGAGGCCTCACCCTATGAACAGCCTGCCCTTCCTACAAACCCTCTAAGTGTCCCTATTCTCCTGGGACATTCCTGAATTTACAGAAGCTATCCTGGTTTCTGATTTGATCTCAGAATGTCCCTCTTTTCCTTAGGACATCCCTATTTTCGTTGAAGAAATGTTGGAGGGTATGGAGTTATGCAACCCCCAACCTGATGACATAAGAGAGCCCTGTATAAGGAAGTTTTTAAATATTTAATGTTTTATTCAATCAATCAATCAATCAATCAATCATTTTTATTGTTTATAGCCAATGGCCATTACAGTTGCTGTGCTTAATTCTTGTTCATTCATTTGTACAAAATTATTCTAAAATCATTTGTATGACATTATTGAGTTTGCAATGCATTCTTAGTAATTCGGTAATAATAATTTATTATTTGTACCCCGCCCATCTGGCTGGGTTTCCCCAGCCACTCTGGGCGGCTTCCACAAAGACCAAAAATACACTAATATTTCATACATTAAAAACTTCCCTGAACAGGGCTGCCTTAAAATGTCTTCTGAATGTCAGGTAGTTGTTTATTTCCTTGACATTTGATGGGAAGGCTTTCCACAGGGCGGGCACCACTACCGAGAAGGCCCTCTTCCTGGTTCCCTGTAGCTTTGCTTCTCGCAATGAGGGAAACGCCAGAAGGCCCTCGGCGCTGGACCTCAGCATCCGGGCAGAACGATGGAGGTGGAGACAGCAAATTACTGCCTGCGTTTCTTTTAAAAAAAAGAATAATGAATACAAAACTTAAATCTTGAATCCTCCAGATGTTACTGAACTGCAACTTCCATCTTCCCTGGTCATTGGCTACGCTTGCTAGGGCTGATGGGAGTTGTAGTCCAGCAACATCTGAAGGGGCAAAGGTTCCCCACTCCCACCTTAAAGGTACTGAGGGGAAATAAAACAGGAAGGGAATTGTAGAATTGGAAGGGACCCCAAGGGTAATCTGTTCCAACCCCTGCAATGCAGGAATCTTTTGCCCAGCATGGGGCTTGAACCCACAACCCTGAGATTAAGAGTCTCATGCTCTACTGAGGGATGTTCCTTCTGTAACAACAGCTTGACCAGGGATAGTTTGATCCGTAAGCTGCACATTTCTCTGTTATGTTTAGCAAAGCATCTGATGTATCAGGCTCTGCCTGTTCTTCACTTCAGACGGCTGCATAAAAGCAACAGAAATATTTAGCACTTGAACCCTTGGGACCATTCACCACACATCCTACATTTTAATCCAGATCAGCAGTGTTGCCAGTGAACATCCCCCCCCCCTTTTTGCATGAAGTGTGTATTCCCAAATTGCTTTAGTCTCATCTCTGTGAATATAACCCCCCCCCACACACACAATGTACCTGTCTGCTCCTTCAAAGATGCATAAGAAAATGCTTTCTGCACACATCAGGGTGGCCTGTCTTTGCAGGCACCCCAAGGGGGTAAGGATGATCCTGGAGGTGCTGGGGCCTGAAGCAGCAGCAGAGGGAGCCAAATGACAGCCCAGCTAGGGATGCAATGCACTCTAGCTTCCCAAAGCACAGAGCCATATATTCACAGCTACAGATGAGCAACCCAAGTAGATCAACAGGCTCCTTTAAAGGGAAACTCCCACAAGGCAGTAAAGTCAAAGCATTGTGAGTAAAGGATCAAAGTGTCTTGTATGGGGAGTTTGATTCAGCGTCAAAGTAATCCCATGGTGAGTTTGATGCCTAGTTCAGAAATTAGGATTTCACTTGCTGGAGAAGATCAGGTATGTTTTTATTACTGGATTAAGGCAACGATAGGCATGTTGCCAGAGGATGCAGTAATACATAGTGCTGCAATAATGCTGAATGGTTAGGCTTACTACGGTAATTTAGTAGCAATGCTGATTTAGCATCCCTGGCATGTGGTCCTGGGAAAGCTGCTCAAAAGGGGATGCCAAAAAAAGTTCTCTGTCCCAGATCTAATGTAAGGGTAATGATTCTTATCTTGATCACATGCAGGTTCTTTTAAATGCAAAGTTGGCAGAAGGGATGCTAATCATTGGGATCACCAATGGAAGGCAGGGAAGGGCAATTTAACCTGCTATGGTACTAGAGAAAATGCACTTTCTGAACACAATACAGTATTTGCTTTGGAAGGAAATCCCCAATTGGTGTTGATGAGGGATTTTATCCCAATGCAAATAATAATAATAATAATAATAATAATAATAATAATAATAAAATTTATTTATATCCCGCCCTCCCCAGCCGAAGCCGGGCTCAGGGCGGCTAACAACAATAAAACAGTACAAAAGTACAGCACAAACAACACTCTAAAATCATTCATTATAAAATTAATTAATTCAAGCCACTGGCAACCATTGGGCCAGAGCTCCGCGAAGATTGCCAAGGGAGGGAGTCAGGCTGTGCCCTGGCCAAAGGCCTGGTGGAACAGCTCTGTCTTGCAGGCCCTGCGGAAAGATGTCAAGTCCCACAGGGCCCTGGTCTCTTGTGACAGAATGTTCCACCAGATCGGAGCCACAGCCGAAAAAGCCCTGGCTCTAGTTGAGGCCAGCCTAACTTCTCTGTGGCCTGGGACCTTCAAGATGTTTTTATTTGAAGACCGTAAGTTTCTCTGTGGGGCATACCAGGAGAGGCAGTCCCGTAAGTACGAGGGTCCTAGGCCATATAGGGCTTTAAAGGTTAAAACCAGCACCTTAAACCTGATCCTGTACTCCACCAGGAGCCAGTGCAGCTGGTATAGCACCAGGTGAATGTGATCTCGCAGCGAAGACCCCGTAAGGAGTCTTGCTGCAGCATTCTGCACCCGCTGGAGTTTCTGGGTCAGTCTCAAGGGCAGCCCCACGTAGAGCGAGTTACAGTAATCCAGTCTGGAGGTGACCGTCGCGTGGATCACAGTGGCTAGGTCAGGGCGAGAGAGGTAAGGAGCCAACTGCTTAGCTTGGCGGAGATGGAAAAATGCCGCCTTTGTTGTAGCTGCAATCTGCTCCTCCATGGAAAGGGAGGTGTCGAAGATTACACCCAAACTCTTAACGGACGGTGCTGGCACTAATTGCGCCCCCGCATGAGATGGGAGTTGCCCCCCCAATCCCATATTGTCCCGTCCCAGCCACAGGACCTCTGTCTTCAAAGGATTTAGCTTCAACCGGCTCCCACGTAACCATCCAGCCACAGCTTCCAAACATCTGGTCAGTGTGTCTGGGGCCGAGTCAGGATGGCCATCCATCAGCAGATAGAGTTGGGTGTCATCAGCATACTGATGGCAACCCAGCCCAAAACTCCGGACAAGCTGGGCGAGGGGGCGCATAAAGATGTTGAAAAGCATCAGGGAGAGTATCGCACCCTGAGGTACTCCACACACCAAGGAGTGGCGCGATGACAATTCCCCCCCAAGCGCCACCCTCTGTCCCCGACCAGAGAGAAACGAGCGCAGCCATTGAAGGACTGTGCCCTGGATCCCCACGTCGGCAAGGCGGTGGTCCAGAAGTTCGTGATCGACCATGTCGAAAGCTGCTGACAGATCTAGAAGAATCAGCAGCCCCGACCCACCTCGATCCAGCTGTCTACGAAGATCATCTGTTAGGGCAACCAGAGCCGTCTCGGTCCCATGACCAGCGCGGAAGCCGGACTGGAATGGATCGAGAGCCAATGTTTCATCCAGTGTTGTGCATTGCCTCTGTGTGGGGGCAAAATAATGAGATGAATTGGGAAGTTTATCCATGCTCCTGAGTCAGTTCCCCTCCCTGCTAAGTTACTTTGTTCCATCTGGCCTTTTTCTATAACTTCCAGCTCTGTGTTTTTCTATGTTTCTCCATGGTCTCTGCAAGAAGCGAAGCTGTTCAAAATATTGTCTGTGGAGCACTGAATTGCTCAGAGTTTGTTGTTGTTAAAGCGCAACACTGGTTTTTTTAAAAAAAAGAAATGTAAAAGCTTCATTTAAGAGCTTTTTTAATAATAAAAAATTCCTAAGTTGTTTGGCTTCAACAAAAAAACTGAGCAAACAGCAATAAACCTAGAGCACTTCAGAATCCTTATCCAGTGAGAGAGCCTGTAAGGAAAAAGACCAGAGTAAAGCTGCAAATTTTTTTTTTTTAAAAAACAACAACAACGCACAAGCAGGAGTACATACCACTTAGTCACCTCTTTAAGATTTGGAGGTAAGAAAGAAGAAGAGACAAACCTCGCCCCCACACTCTTGAGAATACAAAACGAATAACAAATATGAAGGAAAGTGCTTCACTCATTCACTTTTGCTTCGCTCACAATAAAAGCCCCTTGATCTATTTGTCTCCAGTTTAGAAGGCTTAATCCTTCCTGGAAGTGCTCCTGCGCCTATAGATTTTATCCACTTTGGCCAAAAGGAGGAGGAAAATGTTATAGCTATCTTTGGATTACCCATTATAGTGAACTAGAAGCCTCTTATCTTGCATTGTTAAAAAACAAAACAAAAATCTACCTCACTGAAGTTTTGAAAGAGGTTCACTGTACTATTTTGATTCAAGATGGTATTCCAGTTGTATCCAAACTTAGATAAAACACTGATTCTTGATTTCAGGAACCATTATGAAATGGTTCACTCTCCCAATTCACTAAGCCCTGTTCTCTTTTCAGTTTCTGGCACTTCCTCTCCCCAGGCTTCTCCCTCGTCTCCCTCTGAGCACTCATCATTGTCCCACCACCCCTCCTCTGGCTCTGAGCCTTCTTCCCTTGACTGTTCCCCAGCTAGTTCCTCCCACCGCTCCTCTGCGTCCAACCAGGCCCTGACAAAAGAGACCTGGATCCTTGTCATGCATCATATGGATAGTATAAACATTTTTGCATGCAATTGCTTCTAATACAAAACATTTTGCCTGCCATTTTCACTAATATATGCCCCCCCCAAAACTTTAGTATATGCACTATTGGACAAATTATTTAGCTGGAGAACTTCACTGCAAAATCCATAGCAATGTCAAATGATGACTGTGTTTGGATTCATGTATTGTTTTAGGAATTGTGAATAGGTAAGTGCAAGCTGAATCTAATTTCTCACCCATGCCAAATTGTGAGTGAGAGCAAAGCTCCCCCTTTACTACCCCCTGGTTTTTCTTGGCAAATCCCCTCTCCATCCCTTCTAAGGCAAACGTAGGATTTAGAACGCCGTCTTGGCTTCATAACATTTTGTTCAGTACCCTGGATTCCATTCTGAAGGGTCGCTTGTGTGACTGCTGACTTCAGTTTATGATGTGAAATTTCTCTCCATGGTAGCATCGCTTGCTGCTGTATAGAACACATGCCATCCTGTCAAGGCATTCATCACCATTATTATATCCGAGTAGAAGATTGGTAAATTTGTTCAGCCCCGTAAGATAGATATTATGGCATTTGACAGATGATTTCTGCATCGAAATGATCTTTTTGGAAGTGCTGAATACACTGGCACTCCATTATGCAGCACGGAGCGAAATTTCCTCACTGTTATCTGGCAAATAAGCTTTGCAAACTGGGAGTCATCAGAGAAGAATTATCCCTAAAGCTTGAAAACGGATTTTCTGAACACACCACGGGTTTTAGTGCTAATTCCCTTATTATAAGGTGGCTTTGGCCACCAATGGTTCATATTTCCAGTTCTAATTGGCTGGTGATGGTCTTAAGATGGTGTCATCTTATTTAAAAGGAGGAGGGAAACCCTCCAGAGAACATACAGTTTGGGAAGGATGTCACCTAGCTCATCACCTCATTTCCATAATGGGGGATTACAATTATCTAATGCAGCTAATGAGAAATAAAGGACAGTGGGAAAACTGCAAAATCATAGGGAGGAGGAGGAGGAGGAGGAGGAATACAAGGGATTACCCACCCACTGCATCCTTTCTAATCTGTTGCCCAGCACTTGAAGCCAACTAACCGATAAACATTAGAAGCAAATGAGCAATCACAATAATCAAGTAATTAAAACACTTTGTACTTATAAAACCACTCAGAGCAGCCAGATCTTCTGGATTGTGAAATGGCCTCCATGGAGCTACGGCAGCCTACCATTACTGAATGCCTGTGATGTATGTTAGCTGGGCTACATAAACCCAAACTAATCAATCTGTATAGCAC